AAACGTTGGTTAACATCGACCAGACTACACAGCGCAACAACCCAGAAGACAGAAATCTTCATACTCATCGCCCTGATGACGGAGGCAGTATGACCTCCGAAACGTTGGTTAACATCGACCAGACTACACAGCGCAACAACCCAGAAGACAGAAATCTTCGACCTTCATATAATTTGGCGCTGGGATTTCCCTGAGTTATAAAGAGTAGAATAAGAAGATTCTTGAGTTTTGTTAGAAGATTCAACGGAGGCTCTTATTTAAAGCGTCGATTCTCGTCTGACGTAACAATTCGCGTTGATTTCAAGTACATAATTTAGCTTACTGAGAACTTACGGAAACATACATTTTTGGAGTGGCCGGATATTCTGCAGATCATGCAACGTAGAGAGCAGTCTCCCTTCCGTTACAACCACTTCCGTAAAGACAAGTTAAATGATGACAATTTCACTTCACCTAGTTGCCTAGAGGCTTCAAGCAGAGCATTACGTCACGCGAAAGCTGGGTGAGATTCGTGGCTGTGGACTCCTGGAGGATATTAATGTTTGAAACAGGAAGACTTCCACACGATGTTTTAGCGCTTGTTTATAAAAATACAAGGACGATAATTAATAAAAAACTTAATCACTCTACACATTCAAGATAATATAAGTGTAGAGTAAGTGTAAGTCTACACGTAGACTTGACAAACAGAGCGTGTGCTTATCACGGCAATTCTGCATCCTGCGGTAAACACGAAAAATCTGATCTTTTCCTTTCTCAAATCTCATCTCGACCGCCTTTAATTTCTAAACACCAGCTTTAAACCATTCTAACCCGTTTCTCTGATTTCTTGACGGCAAATTCTGTGTCTTTCCTTGTCCCCGCTCCACTTTAATTTTACAGCAACATACTTACGACATTTCTATCCTTCAACATTATCCCATCTTTATTTATTTAACACTTCTTACTCACAATATTCAATTTTATATACAGTGTCCGTCTTTAGAATTATGTTTATTTATTACAAATACAAACAATTACTAAAAGAGATGACTCACAAGACAACCAGTGCATTGCATTAATAAAGATAAATAAATATTGCCTCCATTATAACACCTGAAGATAGAGACAGTATATTCTTATGAAACGTTAGTAAGTATCCATGAGTTCGTAGAAGTTTAAAAGACCAGCCTCGACATTTTCGTTAGCGTCAGAAACTCAAACCTCAATATAGGACACTAAGCCTTTGTCAATGCGAGCGAGAGCTGCCATACATCTCCCTAAAACATTAAAAATTCTTTAAATAATCTCCAATCCGAATCAACTGAAACATATCTCGTGTTAATTGACGTTGATTTAAGGGCAAAAGTTTCCCGTTTTCCTCAGCCTGAGTTTTGTAATCGGCTTGCCCATTAACTTTCGAAATTGTATGAACGCCTGACCTCGTTACGTGCACTACACACGTGTAGGAGAAGTTGCTGCACTAGCAGGCGCTCCACAAATTTTGCTCTATTTGACTGCTGTCCTCTCTTGAAAAAACATACAAACTCCGTCCTGCTTTAAGTGACTACTCCGTCATACCAAACGTGAACCTCCAAACTACGTAGGAAAAAACTTCGACCACAGTACACAAACTTCTTTCTTCTACTCGTTTATCTTCGAATATGTTTCTCCATCATCCTTACCCCCTGGTACGAGAACTTTAAAATTCAGGTCATGGATATTCTCAATTCTATCTTCATCCTCTGAGAATTGCATCTTCATAGACAAACACGGTAGAGCACTGTACATATTTTAATTACAAACACATTATCTGATAGTGAGAACACAGTTATCCACGGTTAAATGTACCTTGTTGACTAAATAAGTAAGTTTCTATGAGACTAAGTCAGTACGTACCACATTACAAGGAAGTATTCCACAGGTGACCATCCATTTTCTTATTTAGTGCTGATAACTTCAAAAGGGCCATCTTCAGAACACTTAGTCAATCCCGTGCACGACAGATAACATAGAATTTTATTATTTATTTAGTGTTCTGTCTGACGACAGGTCCATATGAACAGGATCCTTCGATCCTTTTCTCGGACTGGGACCTGTTCATATACGTTCTTGGCAGATGATCCAGAAGGGGTTTGCCATTGCCTTCTTCTGGGTGTGAATGGAGTAATTGTTGGGATGCCACGGAGGAAAACTCCGTGTTGCCTAGACCACGGCCTTGCCCAACACAAGTTATAAATTCGGACACCGCCGGGAATCGAACCCGGACACGGAGGAAAACTCCGTGTTGCCTACACCACGGCCTTGCCCAACACAAGTTATAAATTCGGGCACCGCCGGGAATCGAACCCGAGACCCCAGGATTACAAGACCAGCGTTCTAACCGCTAGACCACCGTGGCGGTCAACATAGAATACATAAAATTAAAAGCACTAAGGTTTAAATAAATAAAATTTTCAGTAGTGTTTTCAACAGTTCGATAATTCTTAACTTTGTATTTACAAACATACTAACAGTAAATTAACTGTGTAATTCTGAGGAAAATGACACAGTTAACCAATAGACATGAGTAAATATGGCACACAGATAAGAGCTGTAGGCCATAACCCATCCAACAAATGTACATAGAATCTGCTTGGCATTCGAAAAATTAAAAGCTTGTCAACTAGATATATTCTTCTAACAAGCTCAAGGTTGTAAAATAATTTCACCTTTCCACAGACAATCAAATTACAACAAATAACGTATTATGTGTCAAAGAAACAAATATTAACATAACTAACAATTTGTTAATAGTTGTATTGAGCAAAATTCACAAACGAATATTGGGAACAGCATCAGTTTACACGGATACAAATAACAATAATAATAATAATAATAATAACAAGACACAGATATTGAATGTACAAATTATTTTCAAAATAACATCGCCCCTCTACTGACAAATGAAATTAAGTGTGGGTAATAACAGTGAGTGATCATTTTTCCACTGATAACATTTTTACTACGTACTAGGAAACATTACACAGCTAAAACATCTCTGGAATTTAGTTCCAACAGAACATATATTGTCGCTGCTATTTTAAGTCTCCTTCCAGTCGCGTCATGAACGTCTTTATATCGCTGCCGTGATGTCAGAGAGGCTAAATTCTGCACTTTCAGATTATGAGATACATTTTAATATACAGAAGGTTACGACACTGATATTCGAATTGTTGTCAAAAAATAAAGGAACCTTCCGACACGTTTAAAAACGTATCAGAAGAATCACAAGGACAAACACTGATTTCATCTGAGCGGTTACATTCTCTCGTAACTCCGCCGAATAATTCTATCAGCCGCCATAAAATATTCAACACAACAAAAACCCGTTAGAAGCTTTAAAGACGCAGATTTAGGTACAATAAACGCACAGTTAATCTCTCCATAACCACACGACAATCTCACTGATTCCTTTCTTCGTTTTGAGTTGTTGAATTCCCGAAAGAATGAAAAATAGACGGAACAAAGTTGTAAACCACTGCAAACACAGAAAGTTGCTTACCATTCTCGAAAGAATGAAAAAAATAGACGGAACAAAGTTGTAAATCACTGCAAACACAGAAAGTTGCTTACCACGCCACAGCTCAGTTTTTCGACTGTGAACGAAGGAATATTTTAACTATAAACTACGATTTCTAGCCTGAAAGAGAGACATTTGTTGGTAACAATATTAAGCCATAATCAATACTAAAAAAACTAATTAAAATTACAATGATTAATAATTTAATAAAATTAAAGAGCAAACCAGAGAGTACAGCCCAGTTACTAAGAGATTTACCAGCATCCACTGACTTTGGATTTGTTAAATCTGTGAGAGAACATTGTTGAAGAAGTACCTACTAACCGCAACAATATTAATTTGGCATTATAAACCACAAAATGTCTGAAGACAATTTGTTAAGGTTGTACATCTCTCCAGTTCATCAAGAACCCCTCTTAACTTTAATTGCTGTATTTGCATTAAGTGTGAAGGCAGTTATACCAGATAACCTTCAATTACTTGAGAATTAAATGTTGAAGTGAAATCCATTTCCGATAATAATTATTTCACACGCGTTTCAGACTCGCGAACATTCATGTGGGTTTAAGATGACAGTAATATTCAGTATCGTAAACCACGTGACGTCAGCTTGAGTTCAGGGTGTTGGAATCTTAGCGACACGTTTCCTTGTATCAGGACAATTACTTTATTGGCTAATTATCTATGTCACGTCTAAGATAAAAGCACTGCTCCAAAAATATAAGAAAACAGTAATGTTCAAAAGAAGTCGTGTTATTTTAGAGTTCCGACAAAGGTTTTATATAAACATTCTGATTAACATTTTAAAGAATTTAAAAGATTTTGAAATAAATGTGTAATGAGTACAATCTCAAACTGTATTCTCTGGTGGGAGGGGAGCAAATACATTAATAACTCGACGCACTAATATATTTTTATCTTTTGACGAGATCAAATTTTTATCAAAAACTTAATCTTGACGTTAATAACACTTTCAGTTGCAAAACGGTTTACCGAAATTCGAAATTCGCTTCGGAAATTCAGTTATTACGCTTATCAAACATTTTAAACAAGAAATCGTTAACAATTAGAATGTTTATTCGGACCCCGATTGAAAGATATATTATTAAACATTTATTAAAATACAAGGACCTCGACTGTGTAAGTATGCGGCCATACTTAAGATTTTATTAAGGAAAACTCTTCAGGCACACGAAAAATAGAAGGCTAGCTGATTAATTTGTCGGTGTAGTAATTTAGTCGATTTAAGTACGAATAATAACGGCTTGTCTGTAAAACCTCCGAAAGTGATAGCATCCAGAAGATTTGATTTTGCTGTTTTACACACGAGGAAAAGAAAATTTCCCCCTTCCGGGGCTCAATAATTGTCTTCCATATCACTCGCTCTCAGAGCGAAAAAAAAAATTCATTGTTTCAACACTGAAATAAGTTCCCTGAATTGTCAGATGCAAATACATAGAAAAATATCCACGAAACATGGCTTACAGGCGTGTTTCTAGTGTCAGAATCTATTTGTAGGTAAGATACATGATATTTGTTCGCTCCCAGATCGAAACTTCAATCTTCCAAGGGCCGGGAGTTCGGGCTAATTCTGAGCAAAAGAACTTGTTGATCCGCGGACCAGCGGCAAATCGCTACACAGTTTCACAGCACAAGGCGCAGAACTAAATGGAAGACGGCACAGTGTCTAGTGAGATGTAGCTGTACACAGCTTTCGTCGCTTTACGCTGAAACCTGAAGACGCCGATTGCAAGTAGAGACGTCCCCAGAACCACCAACAACGCACTCACGACGCCCTGGACGTTAGGTAAGACTACCACGACGAAATACATCATGGATACCAGGTACTGTGGTATCCCTACTTGGTGCTGCAAAGCAAACAACCATAGGGAACAGTCAAATACACTTTTAATCGACCCTCTAAAGCAGACATTATCGTCAGTTCGCGGTCTGTTTGTAGCACGCTCTTTGCAGATGGTTTTAGTGCAGTCCGCGAGTATTTAGGGTGTAACATTATGTTTCTAGTATTTTAAGAAATAGATTTCTGGTATCGCAAAAGAATCTTCGTTAAAATCGTAAGTATTTCATAGCACATATTGTCTGTGGCGGTGAGAAGCCGCTGGACGTGTCTGTACAGATTAAATATTATCATTTAGTGTTCTGTCTGACGACAGGTCCATATGAACAGGATCCTTCCATCCTTTTCTCGGACTGGGACCTGTTCATATACGTTCTTGGCAGATGATCCAGAAGGTGTTTGCCATTTCCTTCTTCTGTGTGAATGGAGTAATTGTTGGGATGCAACGGAGGAAAACTCCGTGTTGCCTAAACCACGGCCTTGCCCAACACAAGTTAAAAATTCGGGCACCGCCGGGAATCGAACCCGAGACCCCAGGATTACAAGGACAAAGGATAAATTATCTTAAAGTGAAAGTAATTCTGTCTGTATGTGCGTGTGATATGAATCAGGGATAAATAACAGGTTTCGTGGGGTGAATGCGTGGTGTGCTTTTGTTTAGGACTGGACGGTAGCAAGTCTGTGGGGGTGTTATGAAGGGGGGGTGTGTGCATGAATAGATTGCAATGAAATCGCGGTTTGCGTCAGGTGCTCCCTGGGTGAAAAATGAGCTAGTGTCGAGCAGAATAAGAAGTGGAAAGAGGCAAGGGCAACATTGTCTTCTTCGTAACCATCATAAATTCTGTTGCCTTCAGTAATTCATTAATTATGTATGAATCTTCGAACCATAAGAACAGCGGTGAAGGTTTTACGATGATGAATCTCGGCATAGAGGAGTCAGACAAGAAAATGAAGAACCAAAGAATAAGTACAGTCATTCCTGATTAAAAGTAAAGCAAATTGTATTTTACGGGGTTTGAGGCATTCAGGAACTGAACGGAACTAATTTATAGTCAGATAAATTTGAGGTTAAAATGTACGTTTAGTCTGTTCTGTTTATCAGATATCATGCTGATAAAATGGAGGAGGTGTTGTGGACTTGTGTGATACTATGCACGGTTGGAAATGAGAAATACATACAAAATTTTAGTAGGAAATCCTGGTTGTTTTTTGCTCAAACTATAGTGTAAAGGACGCCTAAAGCAGATCTTAAAACGAATAGGTTATGAGGATATTAAATGGATTAATATAATTAACACAGTAATAAACTTTCAAGTTACATACAGCTTTGTTGGGAAATTCTACCATCTGTGAGGCGTAGTTTTTTAAAAAAAATTCTGTCCACGGAGTTAAATTATCATTTAAACGTGTACTTATAAAATACAGTAAGAATGACAATAATTTTATAACGTTTGTGACGCGTAATGTAACAGTCGGAGGGAAACATGAAAATGGAAACCTGATTTTACAAGATTAATCAGGCAGAGTAAGTGTCAAATATATCACCAGTGACTAAAACAATATCTTCTTCTACTAATATGTGAACCTGTCTAAGACAACACGCCTAATTTAGTAGCATTTTAGTCACTGTCTGTGATGACTATAACCCTCGTATCGACAAGAAATGGTGAATGTTGTCCCGGGTCTGGACGAGTTTGGGAACCCATGCTTACAAGGTATTGGTAACATGTGACATTGACGTTGTCACTTCGGTGAAGATGTTGGTGATATACTTTCGGATTCTGGCGCCGCGGTTCTCCATCTTCGTGGCTGAAGATGGAGACAGCGCCTTTCTACGGAACGTTGGCAACTACTGGCCAGTTTACGCGGACCCAGAACACAAAACACCATCAACATGGTGACCATATGCCTGCTTTCACATTCTGCTACCTATCAATAGGCCCACGTAATCCATACCCAGATCTCATTTGTTTCTCTGAATAAACAGGAATATTGTCCAAACATCCTAATGAGTGAAGTTGGTAAGAGTGTTGTAATACGTTTTATGCAAGGCCAAACCAAATTCGTAAAAACTTAGATGAGACAAGTCCTTTAAGGGGTTAAGATATTTATAATTCTGGCAATTTAGGGTCATTATATAAATAAATAAATATATACATGTCACAACACATGAAACATTAATACTTTTAACACATAAGGCAACATATTTTTCCTTGTAACAAAAAAAGGGAATTTCTGTAATGTTAAATCATACACCTCACTTTCAATCTGTATGTTCTAATTTATAAAACTTCGATATTTTCACTATTCCAGCACACGAACACATATGAAGGTTCATGCTTACAATATCAACCAATGTTTCATACTAACTTTCTGTTTTCAAAAATTCTGTATGTAGAAAAGAGCCTGAAGATGGTCCACTGAGTCGAAACATGTTGTTAGAAAATACAGAAGGCTGGATGTATTTACTTAATAAATATATTAATTAATTTTTAGACAGAAATTAATTTGAACTGAGAAAAGTCGAAATATTAAACCATTTTGGATTTTTGGTTTTGTTTCAGATACCTACATATTTTCTACCCTTCTGTTATTTCATAACTCTGTTTTACTAATTATTATAAGCGTTCTGGCAATATAATTTTTATAAATTTTATAATAGGAATTAAATATTTAATATTTACTTAAGAGATAAGTGACTAATTATCCAACTAATTTAGAAATCAACAGAAAAAATCATTTACCAACCTAACCTAACCCTAACCTAACCTTCCTCTGAAGCAATGTAACGTCTTATCGAGTATAAGAACCCGGTCGTTTAATAGAGTTAAAAGATGAATTCAATCAGCTTAGCACACGTGGAATATATTGTATAAAAGGTCAAAAATTACGAGAAACTTACCAGTTGCAACCAGAATATAGGGATGTACGTGTTGGAAAAAGATTTCACTGGACTGTATCCATCGACATTCTTTACCACTAAATTACACTGCATACCAGCTTTGCTCTCCAATGGCAGTCCCGTGTTCTACGAGAAAAAAAATCGAACTTAATATATCGATATCAACATCAAACGTTATATGCGAAACGACTTCATTTAAAGGCAAATTTTATTGTATTGTCATATCAGTAACTGAAGTTCCCATTAAAATAAGAATAACAAGAAAGATGCCAATTTGAAACACAAATAAACTTTTTGAAGATTTGCCTTCTTCTGGGTTGTTCCGTCGTCCGGTATAAGTTTATTGACGTTTCAGAGGTCTTTGCGGATCGCCCTGATGATGGAGGCAGTAACGACCTTCGAAAGTCAGTAAATTTCTCTCAGACTACACGGAGATACAACTCAGAAGACGGTCATCTTCGGTATAGTCATCGTGAAAACTCCAAATCCAAAGAGACTGGGATTTTGCGACAAGGTTCAGAGATCTCAAATGCATCGAATTCCTGGATGAGGTGAATGTCCGCTTGCCACTCCTGCGTCGTGAATCAGCTGATGCATTTGTACTTACCGGTTCGATGGTGACATAGCCCGAATGTTTCTCTTCATCAGGTTGCATTCCGTCAACTTGGTTCCTGACGGCAGGGTCTACAGCCAGAAAATGAGGTAACGAAGCAACCATAGGAAAATCTGTAACATTCGAGTTTACAGCGTGAGCAATCAATTTGAGGGCTCGCCGGGGGTCTTCTAGCAGATTGACAGGTCCTGTGTTAAAAACTTCGAAACAACGGACGACTGTCTCCTGGGATTTGCCCTGAAAAGTCTGTCAGAAACTGACCGAAGGTTTCTGAGGTCATTACTGTCTCTATCATCAGGGCGATTTACTCATCGCACTGAGGATGAAGTTAAAAAGTACCTCTGAAACGTCGGTTAACTTATACCATACTACATGGCGCAACGACACAGAAGAATCCATCTTCAGACTCACAGCCGTGAAAACCTCAAATCTTACGACGTTTATCCTCACTTATACCGGTCCTCTGGCCAGTTTGAGAAGTTAATAACTCATTTTAGGAATTTTTGCTAGGTGTCGCTGTGTGAGACAGCCTGAAGCCTTGTAATGTTTAAAGGTACTCTGAGATAACGACCGAAACAAATTGTCGAAACGTCGGCGTTTTCGCCTTTCAACTACCTGACACGGATGATAGCCCCGAGAAGAATTCATTATTCTTAGTTGCCGTGAAAGCTTCAGATTAAAGAACTTAAAAACAAATTAACTATGGTGTTTGGTAATAAATAATTGAATACAAATGATACATAAGACATGATGTAAGATGCTGAGCCCTTAAAATAATAAATTCTTGCAACTGAGGCAAAGAAATGTTAGTTTATCAATACATCGGGCAAGGGACATGTCGTACAAATAGGGTTTACCGTAGAAACAGGGAGAAATCTCGGATAGACCGTCCGGATGAGGTTTGTCTCCAGGTAACGTGTAGCAATCGTGACTTCCATCCTTAGGCCTGTGGAACGTATCCAGAGGTAGCACGTAACGATAGGTCGACATCCCCAAGTTGACGGTCTCATCTAAAACACAGATGTTCCTGCCACATTTATGGACGGATTGATGTTCAGTTATCTGGAAGGAAACTCCAGGGGGTTTAGCAAATCGGAAACAATTCACTCACAGACAAAAGTTTTAAAAAAAAATATGATCTCGTAGTGGCGTTCAGTGTGTACTTTGTGCCAATGTACGCAGTCGGCAAAATACGCCTTATATGGATTGTGATCTTGTGGATCTGTACCTCAGTTGATGCTTACTTAAGCTGTGTAGTTTTTGGCCTCAAACACCATGGCCGGCATCCCGCACCCTCCTTATTCGCCGTGTGACTTCTTCCTCTTCCCAAAGATGAAAATTCAGCTAAAGGGAAGGAGATTTGAGACGATGGAAGAGATTCAGGCAGAATCGCAGATGGTGCTTGACAGGCTGACAAAGAAAGATTTCCAGGGATGCTTCCAGGCTTGGCAGCGGCGCTGGGATCGTTGTGTTCACTCCCAGGGGAACTACTTCGAGGGTGATGGATGAATTTAATACCTGAGATAAGTGTACGGGTTTTTATAGGCGCAGTCTGGAAACTTTCCGATCGCACCTCGTACTTCAATATTACTCCGATGGCTAATGACGTCACAACCCACAATATCACGAATAAAATCTTCCAAAACTCACAACTCATTTGGCCGTAATAAAAGACAATCATCAAAATTCTGTGAGTTGCTTTGCTCTGTGAACACGGACCAGCTTGGACAAGATATGTAAGATTGTTGAATTTATAAATCCATTATAAGTAACCAGAAATGAACAATTTACGATTCGTCACAATGTTTTAACCCTGTGGCAACAGAAAGGTATTTTCCTTTGATTGTATTTCACAACCCTAATTATGTTTGGCTTTGTCATTCCTACCTCAGACGCAGGCATTCTTTATGGCGTATATTTTAAAAGCAGACGCAGCATTAACTCTGAGCGACTTTAGAAGTCACTAGATAACGCGGACAAGTACCAATAATACAGTAAGATAAGTCCACTTTTCTTGATAATGCTATCAGTTTCCACGCTTAGAGAAGAAAAACGCGTCATTTTAAAACATTTGTAGCGCGCATGGATGGGACAAGAGTGTGCACCGGGTATTGATCGGGAATCCTGAGGGGAAGAGGCCGCTGGGGAGACCTAGACGTAGATGGGAGGATAATGTCAGGCGGGATCTATGGGAGATAGGAGTTGAAGGAGACTGGATTTTGTTGGTCCGGTGGAGGGCTTTGGTTAATTCGGTGATGAACTTTCGGTTTCCCTAAGCCATCTGGTTGGTTGGGTCCACTATTTGGGAAGCCTGAGGGGAAGAGATCTCTGGGGAGACCTAGACGTAGATGGGAGGATAATCTCAGGCGGGATCTATGGGAGATAGGAGTTGAAGGAGACTGGATTTTGTTGGTCCGGTGGAGGGCTTTGGTTAATTCGGTGATGAACCTTCGGGTTCGGTAAGCCATCTAGTTAGTTAGTTGTACGAACGTCACCCCAAAAGTAATCCACTATATTTAAAAAAAATCCCCTTTTGTTCTACCGTATTGCTATTCACACAGAACACAGATACATTAGTTCCGCTCCTATTAAAACTTAGTTCATCCTTCTCCCGCAAGTGGCGCATGTGTATCATTCGTTAAACATGGCTGTTGTTGACGTTCGTCAGGAACAGCTTGGTGTTATCGAGTTCCTGGTGCGTTTGCTCTAATAAACTATCACGTAACCTTCACTTACTAGCGAAATATAAAGGCGTGACTCGGCACAAGTTTTTTCGGAAGAAGTGAAGTTTATCTTCCTTCGAGACCTCCTGATGGTACAGAACTCCCTCCGTGGCCAACTTCACTGAATCACACGTCATGTTGGACCAGTATCCGAACCGATTCTTTCCGTTGTACATGTCCATTGTGAAGAAACGCTTTGTGTTGTTTGGGCCAATGAACACTGTCACCTCATCCTCGTACGTTCTGTAAATCTACAGCGAAACACTTTATCAGTAATTGGTCTTTATTCGACATAGAATGTAACCAAATATGGTAACATTTCGGCAAGCATGAAGATGGCTATCTTCTGCCCTGTAGGAACGCGTAGTCTGGTTAGAAATTTACCCACGTTTCGGAGGCATTTGCTGTTTCCATTATCATGGCGTCGAGACTACCAGACCGCCCAACGCAAGAACCCAGAAGGTAGCCATCTTTATGACTAAACAGATTAAACAATTCGAGCATTATCGTATTCTTTGCGAAATAAAACATTTTTTCACCTTAAATGTTTGTGTTGAAATATATAAGCTGTTTGTTAAATGATTACATATATTTATTAATTATTTTACATATCTATTTAAGTTATTCTGTGTATAAATATTTCCGATGGTTATAAGTTTACTTAACTACAATAAGAGCTACTGAAATATTACAAGGGAATATCGAACTTTCTAATAAAGATATTATCTTTTTGAATACCTTCATAGGTGATGGAGTGGCAAACTTGCATTGTCTTAAAATACATTACTATCTGAACTAAAATAGCTTGATTTTTGAAAGTAGAATTTTATTTTCAGTCATCGGGAGATATTTATTAATCTGGTTTAAACAAATGAATCCACTTAGTTTTGTCACAGATTTGAAGAAGCTCACTCTATAAAAAAACATTTGAATTCAGATTTAGTTACCTAAGTTACGATAAATCTCGAATAATTAGAGAATTTTTATTGTACTATTTAACGAACTAATGGTTCTTACACAGAAAAGAACATGCCTCAATACTGTTACGAACAAAAAACTTTGCTCTTTAGTACAAGAACCAATTGAAACCTATGGATACTTTAACTGAGTGCAGAGTTAAAGATGTTGAAGTAGATGGTATGCATAATTACCATTAATACACTGCGTTGAATCGAATACTGTTATGGAAATAGTGAAAACAGAGAAATTATTGGATATTATTAAAGTATGCTTAATATATCTGAAGGGTTGATTATAGAAATATTTTACGAGAAGTCTGTCAAAGTTTCCGGCTGGAAAATTCAGGAATCCGAGGATCCTGAAATGGGGCCTGTGTAAGCCAGAGAAAGTTTTAAAAGCTTAAGTAGGTCTGAGAGCGTAGCAAAATCAACAGATTGTCTCACAGTTTCCTGGCACGTCGTAACTTTCAGGTGTAAAAGCAAAGTGCCACGTCATCAGGTCGACTAACTTACCATATGAAGCACGCCCAAGTTGTCTACTGGTATCATATTGGGCACCATCTTGGACGCAAACGTCAGAAGGGAATTTGAATTGTTCCATAAATAATCGTATACAGATATTTTAACCAATGGCTGCATATCCATTTTTCTGACCACCAAGTTAAAAGCAAATTTCACGAAGAACGATGCACCTGATAGGTAAGACGTCATCCCCTGAAACAAATTAATTTATTTATAGAGCTTCACCCCGGTATTTAAAGACGCATGCATTTGTTATACCCATGAGAAATGAACACGCACTGTAGGGACAATCCTCACGTTGTAGCATGGGCGAAAACACTTCGTGGGTTTTACACAACAGACCCCTAGATCAAATCATTGGCATCAATTTTTGCACAATGGCCTCGAATTTTATTAATGCAATAAAGACTTAATGTGCCACGGTGGTCTAGCAGTTAGAACGCTGGCCTTGTAATCCTGGGGTCTCGGGTTCGATTCCCGGCGGTGCCCGAATTTATAACTTGTGTTGGGCAAGGCCGTGGTCTAGGCAACACGGAGTTTTCCTCCGTGGCATCCCAAAAGTTACTCCATTCACACACAGAAGAAGGCAAGGGCAAACCACTTCTGGATCATCTGCCAAAACGTATATGAACAGGTATGTGAATGTACTCCAAAGAGTACATCCTTCTAACTGTTTATTAAATTCTCTGTGACAGGAGCCAGGGACAGGCCTATTTATGGAAATTGGGAATAATCCCCCACTCTGTAAGAGTAGCAAGTTACAGAATGTTGTCAGGGTAACGGGATAACACGGAAGGTTATGTATTCAGAATTCCTCGTTTCTTTATAGGACAGCTCCATTGAAATTATTAGCAGAGGCATTAGGAAAGTTTATTTAGGGTTTGTGAAATTTAACAGGTCAGTCGATTAAAGGATATCACTGAAACAGAAGACGTGTATAAATGCGAATCGTCACATAGGATCGGGTTTTACACGCAATAAAATCAGGTCGGCATCAGGAGGCAATATTTATTATTGGTACGATATCGTACGTAGGTCCTAGTAGTTACTACAGGCTGCTGTTATCACCAGTGTTCAATCATCAATTGTAGACAAGCGAGATTGTCTTTGTGAGGAATCAGAGCGTACATCTGCTCAGTAACCAGCAAACAAAATAATTCTGTTGGAAGATATCGATACAACATGTGGGAGACAATTTCGATCAGGTGTTATAGAAGGAGACGTTAATATGAAATTAATATTGGAAATGGACTTAGGATTGTAAAATTTGCCTCAAATACACACGCTTCTCTGATCCTGAAAACTACCATCCAATATGTGAAATTACTGAATGCACTTCGACTTATCCCGTAAGAAAGAAGCTGTAAGACTGGTAAACTCTTATAAAACAATAAATTTTCAGCATAGAATTAAGATAAAATGAAACTCTACAAGTTGATATCAACTATACATATCCTGAATGTGTAAAAATATTTCTTCAGTCAGCTATCAATTTTAATGCGCTTAATTTTTAGGTAGTCTTAATGAAATGCACTCAGCTGGGTCCTTAGGTTAGGTTAGATTGGGTTAGGTTAGGTTGGGTTGAGTTAGGTTAGGTTATGTTAGGTTAGATTAGGTTAGGTTGGGTTAGGTTAGGTTAGGTTAGATTGGGTTAGGTTAGGTTGGGTTGAGTTAGGTTAGGTTATGTTAGGTTAG